TTTGAAAAAATTATACGGAGTTACCTTTCGATTTCCCCCACCCTCCTATAGAAAAACAAACATACCCCCCCAGCCAAAAAAAAATTAAAAAAAAAAAACGCTCTCCGTGAACTCCATGAACTCCCGTGTCGTGAACTCTATGACCGGCTCCGTTCACAGACCCCGTGAACGGTGAACGGGGGTACGGCACTGCATTGAACACTCTCCTGGACATGCGGAGCTTTTCCCGGAAGTAGTCGTCTGTCGCATCATCACACACCCGCAAATCCTCCCAAGTCCCGCCAGCTCTCTGCCTCATCCACCAACGTGGCGTCGATTGAGGAAGCAAACCGCACCCGATTGCAGCGCACAGCTGAACCACAGCCTCGGAAGTGGTGATGCAGTTCGGGGCATCCAACACCCTCTGCAGCAGAAGCCTCTGCCGCCGCCTTGAAAGCGCTGCCTTCATGCGCCCGGCTGCACTCTCTACTTGGAAACGACGGACGACGACAACCGCAGCCGCAGCGACATCTGTATTCTCCGTCGTCGACAGCACAGCAGGGCCATCGCCATCGCAACCCAACATTATGCCCTTCCAACACGAAAAACAATGTCCACCGCCTGCGTGTACCTCTGCCACCACGATTGAAGACGCCTGCAACCAGGTCAGGAAGACAGCCCGGCCCAACGATGTTCCGCCCCGATTGGAGCGTCCGCCCACCGCCGCTGAAGAACGAAACTGCCGAGCGCCTCCACGTGGCGAACTCAGCTGCCGATCGGACGTCTTCGTTTTGCCACGTCGACCACACTTGAGACAGTGGCGGTGCGGCGCCGCTGAAATACGCAATGTGATGGCAACCGAAACCCTGCGAGGCGTGGACTGCTTCCAGGCCGACCCGCCTGTGCGCCGCCACCACGTCGCTCCGCAGGAAGAAAATTCGAATTTCGAATTTCGAAAGGGGTTGTTCCCGTGTTGGCAATTTTCTTTTCCAGGGCCCATGACGTTTTCCCGCCGTCCGCCTTTTGGACCACCACGCCTGCTACACGGACATCCCGAATCGGAGGCCGGACATGCCTCTCGCGGCTGTGTATAATCTCATGAAACTGGCCGCGGGAGGGCCCCGAGGATTCGTCCTCGGGGCGATTCTCCGAGGACAGGTGGAACGACACCTCCAAAAGAAAAAAAGAACTCCGAGGATTCGTCCTCGGAGCCCGAGGACGCGCTGAGGAGTGTCGAACGACGCCCTCACTCTCGGTTGTCCCGGACTGTGGCGGATGGCGAGCTAATGGAACGGTGGCGGCCTTCTCTTCACCATGTACTCGGACAGGAAATCACTCCCGGTGCAGCGAAAACTCGCCAATGCTAGGGGACAACGCAGGTCGACTGTCAGGACTGCTGTGTCAGGGGCCATGGCCTCTGAGGAGTGTCGAACGACGCCCTCACTCCCGGTTGTCCCGGACTGTGGCGGATGGCGAGATAATGGAACGGTGGCGGCCTTCTCTTCACCATGTACTCAGACTGGAAATCACTCCCGGTGCAGCGAAAACTCGCCAATGCTAGGGGACAACGCAAGTCGACTGTCAGGACTGCTGTGTCAGGGGCCATGGCCACACGAAGCATTTCACGGAGGGGTGAGGAGTAGCACCTCCACGAAGGGCCGTTGCAGGCAGGGGAAATGGAAAGCCTTGTTTTTTTTTTTTTTTTTAACAACACAGCCCCTGCCAGTGCTAGTGCTGCTGGTACGAGCAGACACCACTAGCACCTAGGGGTAGGCTCCATCTATTGGTGGGGAGCAGCACCTGCTGGAAAGCGGGTCCAATGTCCCATATACAGATTGTAAGTAGAGCCAATTAAGGAGTATGGATATGAGGCCTGCCAGCATTGATTGCCCTGTCTCCCAGGGGATTGACTGAGCAGGCATTGTGTGGCCTCGGTAACTAGCTAAATACATGATTATCACAAGGGGTCTGCCTCTTCAGCTCTCAGCATGGCCGCCAAATAACACAGGTATACCTAGCAGACCCCTCCTCTGGGGATTGTAGTACCTCCCTCCTTCCCTTCCCCATGTCCCCTCATCCCCCATACCACCCCAATTCTACCATACTGTTTGCAGGGGGGGGGAATAGATCCGGGAAGTCATCCGTCGTTCTCATTGGAGTTGTAGGATCCACCTTGGTCCACTCGTGGAAGATTAGTCGATAATCCTTAGTTCGCTCTTCCTTTTCCTGCTCTCCCCAGGTCCCCTTTTGTTCCCACCCGTTCCACCCTCCCTATCCTTCCCACGTTTTTCCCCCCAAGCCAGTTTGCACTGAATTATTGCATTTTTTGGTGTATTTCTGTCTGTGTGTGTTTATGACAGATCTGTGTTTTGGTCTCTTCCCAGTGTGTTGTTATATCTGTTTTTATTTGCTGTTGTATCATTTCTGTGAACTCCGGCCCGTCCATTCTCACTCCTTCCATCTCATATGTGCAGCGTCCTCTCCATAGTGCCCAAATCACGGCCCTGCGTCCCAGCTTGAAGATGTTATGAGTGAAAACATCCGCCTACTCCTCAGGCCATGTTTCTAACAGGAGTGCTCTCCAGTTCCAAGGCCAGGCCGTTGTTGTTCCCAGCTGATTCCATATCCTGTCCCACCATCGCCAGAGTCAGATGGCCCCTGGGTTTTCTGGAGGGGAAAGAACTAGAGCATAACTTACACCATGGGACGGCCCGCCCAGTCTGTTCTACGGTCGTCCGGTCGATCAACCAATTATTGGTTGATAGGCAGCGGTGTTCCATCTGCCGCTGAAGGGAGGCTAGTTTTGCAGGTTTCGATTTGGCTAGATGGAACCATTTAACCCCCCGGAGTTCATCCTTAACGATGTTTAGGTGCCTCATCCATCTATCCTCTACCCGGGCCCGGAGGTCAGTTCTACGGCGGAGCATTCTATACGCAGACTTGACTGTCATACTGTGGAGGGTCCTGGTGCCCGATTTCCTCCTTCCCCCCGGAACTGTCCATGACCATTCCGTTGGGTCAAAAGGTAGTTGCGCAATGGGGGTGTCTGGGGAGAAGGCCACCCAGTTAGCTCCATCCTTAAGGACCCTGACTCGCAATAGTTCCTCTTTTTGGTAGAATCGTATCTCTTCCGGTGCTGGCCTATGCAGGGTGTTGTCCCGACCTATTTTGAATATATCGACCGCCACCGGCCCAATCGGGCTGCAACCCACCACACTCCCAATTTCCCCCTTGGCGCCCTGAATCTGCACCAAGTCCGACTCTTGTAACGTGGGACCTTTCCTGAGGATTTTCCACCAGCTTAGGGGGATTCTCTCAATGATATCCTCTAGTGTCATCTCCAGCCTGTGGCTGTACCGTAACTTTTGCTTCAGCAGGTCCTTGTCAATCCAGTCTGTCGTATCCGGGTCCCATATATCACTTACTCTGATTACACCCCTCTTCACCCACACCCGCCAAGGGGAGTCCGCACCACGGAGGACCTGGCCTCTGGTATTGACCAGTTTCCTATTGTCAAAGAGAGGTTGTCGAAACACCTCATCCCATCTCTCTGGTAGTACCTTATCCGGCAAGGGAAGGCTCCTCCATGTGTTCAGCAAGGATGGCCAGAAGCGATCATTACGCAGGCCGTTTCTTGCCCGTTCTCTCGGCGAATTCAGCACGGGGTTCTCATGTCTGGCGTATCCTCGCGGTATTGGCCAACCCCTATTTTGCAACCATGTCAGTGGGTGTGTCCATGCTGCTGTTTCCGGGGCCAGCCTGGCTATTTGTTCCAGGGTCAGCCCTCTCCATGGGGTGTCCGGGTTAAAGAGCAGGCGTTTGAGCCATTGCAGGGTTAAGGCCCTGGTTTGAATTGTTGGGTCAATTATACCCAGCCCCCGTCTGGTTTTGGGCTGGATTATGGACTGCCATGCTACCCTGCTGATTGCCTGGTGTTTTTCCGGGTCGCCCCTCCATAGAAATGCGGCTATCTGGCGTTTCAGAGGTCGAAGGGCTGTTTTGTCAAGAGCCCAAATAGCTGACCGGTACCACAGGGAGGCAATAATTACATTGTTGATTACCAAGGATCGTCCCATCAGTGAGGTATGTCGGTCTTTCCACAGTGTTAACTTTTCCAAGGGTGGTTTGGAGATCTAGTCATTATTCCCTGATGGTCTACCGTTTGCTGACAGTGCGACACCCAACACCCGGATGGGGGATTCATTTGGAAGCCATTTAACTTTCGGTTTCTCTGGG